CTCCAAGTCATTAAGGTTCGAGGTGACGTTGCAACCGAAACTTCAGCTCCCTCCAAGATTTTCTAGTGGATATAAGTCTGGAGACTGGCTAGGCCACTCCAGGACCTTAATGTGCTTCTTCTTGAGCCACTCCTTTGTTGCCTTGGCCGTGTGTTTTGGGGCATTGTCATGCTGGAATACCCATCCACGACCCATTTTCAATGCCCTGGCTGAGGGAAGGAGATTCTCACCCAAGATTTGACGGTACATGGCCCCGTCCATCGTCCCTTTGATGCGGTGAAGTTGTCCTGTCCCCTTAGCAGAAAAACACCCCCAAAGCATAATGTTTCCACCTCCATGTTTGATGGTGGGGATGGTGTTCTTGGGGTCATAGGCAGCATTCCTCCTCCTCCAAACACGGCGAGTTGAGTTGATGCCAAAGAGCTCGATTTTGGTCTCATCTGACCACAACACTTTCACCCAGTTTCTCCTCTGAATCATTCAGATGTTCATTGGCAAACTTCAGACGGGCCTGTATATGTTCTTTCTTGAGCAGGGGGGACCTTGCGGGCGCTGCAGGATTTCAGTCCTTCACGGCGTAGTGTGTTACCAATTGTTTTCTTGGTGACTATGGTCCCAGCTGCCTTGAGATCATTGACAAGATCCTCCCGTGTAGTTATGGCTGATTCCTCACCGTTCTCATGATCATTGCAACTCCATGAGGTGAGATCTTGCATGGAGCCCCAGGCCGAGGGAGATTGACAGTTCTTTTGTGTTTCTTCCATTTGCGAATAATCGCACCAACTGTTGTCACCTTCTCACCAAGCTGCTTGGCGATGGTCTTGTAGCCCATTCCAGCCTTGTGTAGGTCTACAATCTTGTCCCTGACATCCTTGGAGAGCTCTTTGGTCTTGGCCATGGTGGAGAGTTTGGAATCTGATTGATTGATTGCTTCTGTGGACAGGTGTCTTTTATACAGGTAACAAGCTGAGATTAGGAGCACTCCCTTTAGAGTGTGCTCCTAATCTCAGCTCGTTACCTGTATAAAAGGACACCTGGGAGCCAGAAATCTTTCTGATTGAGAGGGGGTCAAATACTTATTTCCCTCATTAAAATGCAAATCAATTTATAAACATTTTTGACATGCGTTCTTCTGGATTCTTTTGTTGTTTTTCTGTCTCTCACTGTTCAAATAAACCTACCATAAAAATTATAGACTGATCATTTCTTTTTCAGTGGGCAAACGTACAAAATCAGCAGGGGATCAAATACTTTTTTCCCCTCACTGTACACAGCCAGATAGAGTAGAGACTACCTGTATACTGTGGTGTAGTGTCGTGGTGAACTCTAACAGGATATGTCATTCAAATCACATTTAGTTTCATTACTTTGATTCTTGCACAAGTTAGCGAATTTTAAGGCCAAGAGTTTTTCTCAATGTTATGCCTTTTGAGTGTTTAACAATTTACTTTTTTAGTTTCGGGTAGTTAGAGTTTATTGACTCTTCAATAGATTAGTATTTCACTCCATATAACTATTCTACATTGATTGGTAGTGCTGTTGTGTTGCCTAAGCCATTGTAGTGGAAGTTTGTGGTGCCAAAAATCATTGTCGAGGTACTAAAATAGATGTTGTTTTTCTTTGCTTCCTTCAGCCTCAGAGAGTTAACAGACGAGTCTGATCAGGATGGTGGGCGTGAGGACGAAGATGGACCTTCCAGGTCCAGGGGGTCTCAGAAAGGGGGGTCCCCCCCAAACCCCTTCACGCTCAGACCGCTGGGGAGGGTACCGCCCCTTCCGATGACCCCAAACCACCATTGGTCACAGGGAAGAGCCAAGAACTAATCAGCGTCGAGACCCCGGAGGCTGGGAAGCGGCGTAGCCAACCAGAGTTTGAGGCTGAGAGAGAAGGGCCAGGTAGCTCCGCCTCCAGGAAGAGGAAGTCGGAGGGAGCGGCAGGGGAGCAACAGACCCCATAAAGGACCCCCGTCCAAAACCAAGCTCCCAACCCAGGAGCACCAGGAGCGCAGACTGGCTGCCGGGAGGCTCCACCAGGAGGACCCAGGAGAGAGCAGGGGGGGGAGGACAGAGGAGGAGGATCCTCTAGCAGCAGCTCAGACGATGGAGGTGCCCCTCCCACTGAGCCCCACCAGGCCGACCGAGACGGAGACCGACCCAGCTCCCGTCCCAAACCTTCCCCCTCCAAGAAGTACAACGGCATGAAGGACAAGGCGGCCAAGGGTGGCGGCGCCCGCCCTGCGGGATTCTGGGAGATCCTGAGAAGAGGGCTAAGATGGCAGCCAGCAGCTCGGAGGAGAGGGAGAGGGAGAGAGAGAGACCGACAGGTGGCAGTCGATCCAAGGGCCAGAAGGATGTGTGGTCCACTATTCAGGCCCAGTGGCCCAAGAAGACCCTGAAGGAGCTGTTCTCTGACTCAGACACAGAGGCTGCTAAACTCCCCTCCTCCCCCTGGACCGGCCCAGTCCTCCTCATCAGGCCTGGAGGAGAGGGAGAGCAGGGGGGAGGGAGACGAGGCAGGAGGAGGAGGCCTGGAGACGGAGGACCATGACCCCTCAGAGCAAACCAGGAGCAGGAGAAGAGGAGGAGTGAGCAGGAGGAGTTCCCCTCCAGCGGATCTAACTCAGTCCTCAACACCCCCCCCACCACCCCAGAGTCCCCCTCCATGGGGGGTAGTGGTAGTGGGACCATGGAGCAGGGGTCTGGAAACTGGCTCTAACCGGACTCAGCCCTCCTGTCCTCCCCTCTCTGTAACCCCTGCTCTGGGTACAACGCCCTCCTCTGATCCCCTGGCTCTGGGGCACCCCAATCCCCTGGCAGAGGAAGGCGGCGGCGGGGGGTCGCAGTGAGACAGACGGCAGTACGGTGGAGGTGGAGAGTCTGGGAGGGGAACAGCAGGACCAGGATCTACCACCAGGTAAGGGTTGCCTAGCGGTCGGAGAAGCGGGGCCAGTGTCCTAGATACGTCACCTGCCGTTGTGCCCTTGAGCGAGGCACTTAACCTGTTCACCGGGCACTACACTGGTAGCTGCCCACTGCTCCAGCCTCTCCCACCAAAATGTGTATTTGTGTATACAGTGCCTGCAGAAAGTATTGATTTTCTTGTTTTATTTGATTTATTTCATTCATGCTTGCAGTTGACGAGACTGAATTATGCAGAATGCACAGTTACATTTAGACAAATGCTTAAAAAACACAGGATACTACATTCAATTAAGCAAGTCCTAACCGGCCTCCTGAGTGGCGCAGCGGTCTGAGGCACTGCATCTCAGTGCTTGAGGCGTCACTACAGACCCTGGTTCGATCCCGGGCTGTATCACAACCGGCCGTGATCGGGAGTCCCATAGGGCGGCGCACAATTGGTCCAGCGTCGTCCGGGTTAGGGGAGGGTTTGGCCGGGTTAGGGGAGGGTTTGGCCGGGTTAGGGGAGGGTTTGGCCGGGTTAGGGGAGGGTTTGGCCGGGTTAGGGGAGGGTTTGGCCGGGGGGGGCTTTACCTGGCTCATCGCACTCTAGCAAAAAACTGTTCAACTGATCTCGGTCGTCAGGCGAACGGTGTTTCCTCCGACACGTTGGTGCGGCTGGCTTCTGGGTTAAGTGGGCGGGTGTTAAGAAGCGTGGTTTGGCGGGTCATGTTTCAGAGGACGCATGACTCGACCTTCGCCTACCGAGCCCGTTGGGGAGTTGCAGCGATGAGACAAGATCGAAAAAGGGGGTAAAATACAAACAAACAAAAAATCCTAACCGATTACAGTAAAAAAGTATATTTGATTATTAAAAAGTCTGATGGCAGTGGTCGGATGCTGGACAGTTGGCTCTGGTTGCGGAGGGTCCAGTACTGTCTCCTCTTCTCTGTGGTAGTACATCATGTAGAGGGTCCAGTACTGTCTCCTCTTCTCTGTGGTAGTAGATCATGTAGAGGGTCCAGTACTGTCTCCTCTTCTCTGTGGTGGTACATCATGTAGAGGGTCCAGTACTGTCTCCTCTTCTCTGTGGTAGTAGATCATGTAGAGGGTCCAGTACTGTCTCCTCTTCTCTGTGGTAGTACATCATGTAGAGGGTCCAGTACTGTCTCCTCTTCTCTGTGGTAGTACATCATGTAGAGGGTCCAGTACTGTCTCCTCTTCTCTGTGGTAGTACATCATGTAGAGGGTCCAGTACTGTCTCCTCTTCTCTGTGGTAGTACATCATGTAGAGGGTCCAGTACTGTCTCCTCTTCTCTGTGGTAGTACATCATGTAGAGGGTCCAGTACTGTCTCCTCTTCTCTGTGGTAGTACATCATGTAGAGGGTCCAGTACTGTCTCCTCTTCTCTGTGGTAGTAGATCATGTAGAGGGTCCAGTACTGTCTCCTCTTCTCTGTGGTAGTACATCATGTAGAGCGTCCAGTACTGTCTCCTCTTCTCTGTGGTAGTACATCATGTAGAGCGTCCAGTACTGTCTCCTCTTCTCTGTGGTAGTACATCATGCAGATGAGGGTCCAGTACTGTCTCCTCTTCTCTGTGGTAGTAGATCATGTAGAGGGTCCAGTACTGCCTCCTCTTCTCTGTGGTAGTACATCATGCAGATGAGGGTCCAGTACTGTCTCCTCTTCTCTGTGGTAGTATATCATGTAGAGGGTCCAGTACTGTCTCCTCTTCTCTGTGGTAGTACATCATGTAGAGGGTCCAGTACTCTCTCCTCTTCTCTGTGGTAGTACATCATGTAGAGGGTCCAGTACTGTCTCCTCTTCTCTGTGGTAGTACATCATGTAGAGGGTCCAGTACTGTCTCCTCTTCTCTGTGGTAGTACATCATGTAGAGCGTCCAGTACTGTCTCCTCTTCTCTGTGGTAGTACATCATGCAGATGAGGGTCCAGTACTGTCTCCTCTTCTCTGTGGTAGTACATCATGTAGAGGGTCCAGTACTGTCTCCTCTTCTCTGTAGTAGTACATCATGTAGAGGGTCCAGTACTGTCTCCTCTTCTCTGTGGTAGTACATCATGTAGAGGGTCCAGTACTGTCTCCTCTTCTCTGTGGTAGTACATCATGTAGAGGGTCCAGTACTGTCTCCTCTTCTCTGTGGTAGTACATCATGTAGAGGGTCCAGTACTGTCTCCTCTTCTCTGTGGTAGTACATCATGTAGAGGGTCCAGTACTCTCTCCTCTTCTCTGTGGTAGTACATCATGTAGAGCGTCCAGTACTGTCTCCTCTTCTCTGTGGTAGTACATCATGCAGATGAGGGTCCAGTACTGTCTCCTCTTCTCTGTGGTAGTACATCATGTAGAGGGTCCAGTACTGTCTCCTCTTCTCTGTAGTAGTACATCATGTAGAGGGTCCAGTACTGTCTCCTCTTCTCTGTGGTAGTACATCATGTAGAGGGTCCAGTACTGTCTCCTCTTCTCTGTGGTAGTACATCATGTAGAGGGTCCAGTACTGTCTCCTCTTCTCTGTGGTAGTACATCATGTAGAGGGTCCAGTACTGTCTCCTCTTCTCTGTGGTAGTACATCATGTAGAGCGTCCAGTACTGTCTCCTCTTCTCTGTGGTAGTACATCATGCAGATGAGGGTCCAGTACTGTCTCCTCTTCTCTGTGGTAGTACATCATGTAGAGGGTCCAGTACTGTCTCCTCTTCTCTGTAGTAGTACATCATGTAGAGGGTCCAGTACTGTCTCCTCTTCTCTGTGGTAGTACATCATGTAGAGGGTCCAGTACTGTCTCCTCTTCTCTGTGGTAGTACATCATGTAGAGGGTCCAGTACTGTCTCCTCTTCTCTGTGGTAGTACATCATGCAGATGAGGGTCAGGTTGGTGCATCATGTCAGTGACCAATCGTACTGCTGCTTGCTCTCTCTCTCCGTGACTGTCTCTTGTTTGTTAGTTATTATCTTGCTTGTCTTTAGTCTGTAGCCGGTCCACTGCAGCGTCCTGCTTCTTTGTGCAGCCCACCAGCAACACACTGGCATGCACCAGGCATGGTCGGATCAGGGTAGTGTAGACGTCTTCGGTGGGAAGGCCGTTTCTTGCCATCACAGTCAGGAAGTGGAGACGCCTTGGAAGTATTTTTCATTGCCTGGTTAATGTGTTGGCCCCCACTGAGTTAGTTGTCCAAGTGGAAGCCAAGGTATTAGTGGAGCTGGTTCCAACTGGAACAGCCTGTCCACCCGGTATTAGTGGAGCTGGTTCCAACTGGAACAGCCTGTCCACCCGGTATTAGTGGAGCTGGTTCCAACTGGAACAGCCTGTCCACCCGGTATTAGTGGAGCTGGTTCCAACTGGAACAGCCTGTCCACCCGGTATTAGTGGAGCTGGTTCCAACTGGAACAGCCTGTCCACCCGGTATTAGTGGAGCTGGTTCCAACTGGAACAGCCTGTCCACCCGGTATTAGTGGTTAGGGGAGGATTTTGGGAGAAGCAGATTCTTAGTTGGACAGCCTTTCCATTTGAGAAGCATGTTGTTCTCTGCTGCCCATTCCTCCAGTTCCTTTACCTCTTCCACTGAGGTCATTTTCAATGTTTGCTAGCCTTAAAGCCCGGGACAGACCAATGCCCGGGACAGACCAATGCCCGGGACAGACCAATGTCGTCGGCGTAGCCAGTGTCCAGTGTGTCCTCAAAGATGACTATCCGAGTGGACATGTGAAGCAGGAAGAGGTGAGGCGAGACGACCCCACCCTGGGGGACCCCAGATGTTACCTCTGTCCATGAGCTGTCCATGTCCATGTCCCCATCACCCTCCGTCTTCTCCCTGTTGTATAGCTGTGAAGCCAGGTGAGTAGCCTTGGACATAGACCCAGACTGGCCATATGCTGGAGGAGTTCAGCATGGTCGACACAATCAAAAGTCTTTGACATTTCCGCCAGCAGAACCCGGACCACGGTGGGTTGAGTCTGTCTCTGTAAGCCAGTTGAGTGTGGATCTGACCAGCTCATGTGTTGTGCTGTGTTTAGTATGCATACTGGTTTTTGCAGTCTTCAAGAGCATATGGTATGAACTTCTTGGCTATGAGCCTTTCCTGGACTTGATGTCATAGAGATTGGTCTCCAATCACTTTTCTCTCCAGGACTGGGGACCTTAGGAACGGGGCAGATGTTAGTGTTCGTTTACGCTGTAGGTACAGAGCCCAGCTGATATGCGTTAACTAAGTGAGTGACCACTGGACCCTCTGCAAATACCTTCAGTAACCAGGGTGGATACCATCTGGACCACATGCTTTCTTTGGACTGAGTCTTGAAAGGGCTTGTTTCATTTGTCCAATGTTGCATAGTTCTCCTTAGAGGACACCTCCCCCAACAGGCCTAATTAGAGGACACCTTCCCCAACAGGCCTAATTAGAGGACACCTTCCCCAACAGGCCTAATTAGAGGACACCTCCCCCAACAGGCCTAATTAGAGGACACCTCCCCCAACAGGCCTAATTAGAGGACACCTCCCCCAACAGGCCTAATTAGAGGACACCTTCCCCAACAGGCCTAATTAGAGGACACCTCCCCCAACAGGCCTAATTAGAGGACACCTTCCCCAACAGGCCTAATTAGAGGACACCTCCCCCAACAGGCCTAATTAGAGGAAAATGTATTTCCTGTCCATGCTTCAGCAAAGAAGTTGTTCACGACCTCAGCAACATCATCATTTTACCGTCAATCTGTATCTTCCTCCAGAGGATTTTGATAGACCAAGCTCTTTGTTGTTGAAGTCCCACCACTCTTCTGGGTTCTTCTTTGTGAGGTCTTGAATTTAATTTGTCTAGTAGCTTTTTTCCATTTCTCAGTTTTCTGTCAAAATATGTTTAGCCTTTTCCTTTGGTGGCTGCTTTTAGTTGTTTCGTCATCCCGGGCTGATTTTTTAAAATGTTGTATGTTGGTGTTGAAGA